CTATATAGGATCCAAACCCGCGGCGGGAGCGCTGCTGCGCTCCCAGCGCCGCACTCTCCCGGGAGCGCCACGGGCTCGGCCCAACCCCAGCCTTCTTAATGATGGTTCCTGATCCTGACTCTGGATGACCACCAGTCACAACAATACAGGTTTCCTCATTCACTCTCTGAGACTGGACTGAGCTGATGAACACCTCTGCATGGTTCACAGCCCACACTTGTGGAGGTCTTATCCCATTCCCTGTGGCAGGGAGGTCCCTGAATGGGTCTGGCTAGTGATGTATGCCTGGAACCTTATTATATCTTAGTGACGTGGGAATACTAACTCAAAGAAGAGTGACTTGGAACATTGACATGCAGTGCTTACTGTACCTTGCTATATTCAAAGAGATAAGAAAAATCAGACCCTCAAAACTTCTGCACATAATGGACAACAAAAATATTCCATTTAAAAATCATGCCCCCAAAGAAATTAGGATGTTTACAGTGATAAATCTGAGTTACTACAGTTACCATTTTAAAATACTTTATTCTTATTATATTTTTTTTAGTGTAAAGCTTCATGCTAAAAGACATGTGAGAAGACATTCTTTAGTTTTACAAATTAAACAGCAAAAGAAAACTTTAATAAGCAAATACTATACATTTAAAATTTAGATTATTTTTAAGCCTATGCCAGAATTTAGAGTAGTTTGAATAAATGGCCATTACTCAGAATAGCCGTTCTATACAAATGAATTTCACATGATTTGAGTAACTACTTTATTTCACAAAAAGTATCTCAATAAGTCCCTGTGTTGGTATCTCCTTATGTGTAAATCTTAGAGTTTCTAAATTTAAATCTAAAATACCATGGTCACATTTCACAAAAAGGGTTTAATATATTTAAAATTTCAAAATGTCACAAAGAAAATATTAATGACTAAGTTGTTTTTTGGAATTTGGTAACCATTTTTGCAGAATATAGAACAGCTATACTGTGTACTGCCCATTTATTCAAACTTCTCTAAATTCTGGCATAGGATTAAAAATAATCTAAATCTTAAATGTATAGTATTTGCTTATTAAAGTTTTCTTTTGCTGTTTAATTTGTAAAACTAAAGAATGTCTTCTCACATGTCTTTTAGCATGATTTTTAAAGCTTCAATTTGATTTCACAAAAATTCAGTAAGTACAATCCAGCTTAACAAGTTATCCTTAAAATTCAGTTTCCAAGGCAACAATCGTAAGTCCCTGTACACTGTTTTTAAAAAATCATTTTTATAAATTTAGGCACTGCAACATCAAAGGCAAGTATTAAATATAACTGCCTTACTTTTATCTCCTTTTATCACAGTTTTTGAACAAGCTGACTTCTCTCTTTTCAATGGATTAATATCAGATCCCTAGCCTGCTGTCCATCAAATGTAAGAAAGTTGAGGGCAGATAAAATATCCAATTCCAAAGTGGCTGCCTGAGAATCCAGTCTACTGTATGTGCATAACAGCCAATCTCCTTATAACTTCATAACTGACTCAATCAAGACATAAAGGAAGAGCTCTTACCTGCACATTTCACTCCCTGAGCAATGAGACCCCACATGAAGTTGGCACAGTATTCACACCAGTGCGGTCCTCTGAACGTATGGACCTGAGAAAGAATCAGGGCAAAGTGGAGAGAGTGAAACACATGGATGAGGAGACTGTTTCATATAAAAGCACTAGTATACAAGCCACAGTTAGTACTGAGGAGGCAATATGGCTACATTTAGAAGAACTTTGAGTAGAACTGACAAGCAGTTAACATTTCTTCAGAGCTTGATTTCTTCTTTGTTTAAGAAATGTTGATAATCAAACCAATATTCTGCAATCTACTTTTGAAAACAATTTCTACAGTGGAGTTTTCCAATGGGTCTCCTCAGGCACAAGTACTCTCACCTACGTTTTACACAGATATTGGCATTTCTGAGTTCAATGGCAAAAAGAAGGATAAGGAGTAATACAGAATATGTCTTGGGTCCTGCGAGGATTTTTGTCAGATGATCCATCTTCTGTGAACACAGATAGGGTCACAGATGTTAAAGGTGACAATTATTTGATTGGTCCCAAGGGAATCATCAAAAAGGGATAAAACATTTGATAGTAATTATGTTAGCAAAGAGAATAAATACATTTTCGAAAATGCAGAAGCTATAGGTAATCTAAAACATGTTTAATACTGTTTTAGTAATTATTATTCTAAACTAATCATTCCAGCTCATGAAGATTTTACTGCATTTGATTCCTTTTTCTCTGAGAAAGAAAGGAATCCCCAGAGAGGAAAAGATTCAAACGCTAAGATACCTATAGACTTTCACATATAGGAAAGAGAAGGTACCCTAGCTTAACTCAGATAGAAAAAAATATTGGTAGAACATAGAAGCAATGAATCCAAACCCCAAATATTAAAGAACGATATTATCAGTAACAATTTAAGGTTTCTGAGCAAATATTGGCTGAAAATGCACTCAAGAAATAAGCTGAAAGAAAAGAGACAGGTATAAGGAAGTCATGTGAAAATCACAAACTGTGACGATTTGATTCCAACATAAATATCTGCCAAAATAGCTATTGAAAATAATGACATTCACAGCTAAGATTGTCATTTTTACAACTGTTATATTAATGCATTGACTAGGTGTTAGAAACCATGATTAAATGATTAAAAAAAAAAACCCTTATTTCATTAAACTTAAGATGCCACGAATGTAAGTCATACCATTATATGTTCCATTTAGGAAAACCATGTCAATTAAATTATGACAAGCCATTGATTGATCATAAGATAAATCCCAATTTCAGACATGTTAAAATGTAAAATAAAATGTACATATTAGAATCAATGAAATATATCAGAATTCAAAATACTGCATTGGCCAAAATATCCATATAAGGCCACAATGGATAATCTAGGGTTCATTCCATGTAGGTACGTGCTTGTGACTTTGGTTGCTGCCAAGTGAGCTTGAGTACAAATTTTATGTTGATTTTGACAAGCAGGCCATAATCCCTTTTATGTCTTTTATGGAAAAGGGTCAGGAATGCAGACACAGTTGCTTCTGGGTTGTTAATGATGCTCAGAGCCTGTAAATTGAAATCATTTCCTGGAGTTGCTGAAGCAGAACCCAAGATCAACATTCAGATACTCTGTGATGTCCCTGTTTGTCTAAGTTCCTCAGAGTGAATACAATTGAATAAAGTATGCAGTCTTGCTCTACTCTGATGGGAATCAGTGAAATAGATAGCACTGACTCATAAAAGAGTTATATAAGCAGGAAATAATTATAGAATCGTGAAGTCACTTTTAGAGAAAGTCTCTGGGACACCAACTGGCTTATGGGTTGCCAGATCTCAGGATAATCCAGTATCACTTACTTGGTTAGGTGAATAAAAGTGAAATAAAAGAAGGGAGAAAGTCTCAGGAATTATTCTGTATCTGCCAGTTATCTCACGATAAAGTCTCTGAAAGTTACATTAGGAGGACAAAAACAAGAGTAGATGGTATTTTATTTGTAATTATTTAAACAAAAGGACTTTAGGCAGTCAGCACTGAGTACTGAGAAGTTATACCAGAACCAACTCCCTTCCTCACCTTTCTGAAAGCAGCAGTGAATGTGGCATTTGAAAAGCATGAGGACATCTCTTCACATTAAATATGCTGAAGAAAGGGGTCTAACTGTCCAAGCAGGCCCACTGTTCTAATTAAAGGATCACACATGTATCTAAGAAAGCAATGGAAATCGTTATTTATACATTTCATTCTGGGACAGCTTTTTTAATAAAAAGCATCCTGAGCCATTTGAGGCTAGGATTTTGATTTTTTAAAAAATAGTTTAGAGGGTAGCTTATGTAGTGTCCAGGAAACTGTTCAAGAAACAGGCCTTGAAGCACCAGAAGCTTCCTAAACTTCTATTTGTATAACAAGGATTAACTAAATTCTCTTTTGAATTTTTATATCTAAAATTCGTATTTCTTAAGTTTCTTTTGTTTTGTGACCTCTATGACTCTATGACATTGAATTGCATTTATAAAAGTTGATTATTGTAGCCTTTTTGTCTTTTTTATTCTCCTTGAGGCTATCAAAACAGATAGTAACTTTATCCCTTAATTAACCATTATTCATTCATAAACATTTATTAAATGACATGCACAAAGATAAGGAATTCATTGGTTTCTTGTATAATACAGTGGGAAAATGCTCTGAAGAAAGTGTTTGCAAAGTGTGAAGGAAGCTGGGGGTGGGGGATTGCTCAGGCTTAAGGTGCAACCTATAAGCTGAGTCCCCAGCCTGGTGAGTTGATTAGGCCTGTGGGGCAGAATGGGAGTGTGCGTGTTGGAGCGGGGTGCATTAAGAAGCGCTGTCCCAAGAAAACCAAAGGCACAAGGCATGAGAGAAACAATGTGGTTTAGAGAATTGCAAGTAAGTTCAGAATGGATGGAGGTAGAAATGACTGGCATGGCACGAGGCAAGAGGGGCCAACAGGGCCTTTTACATGCCTACAAATTTATACTCTGCCCAGTGAGGGCCACTGAAGATTTTTAAGGAGAGTGACACAGTCAAAGGGGCACGATTAGAGGAAGACAGACTAGGCTGGATGTTATGACAGTCATCCAGGTAATAGACGACATGGATCTGAACTGGTCCATGGTGACTGAGAGGAAGGGAACAACTGGAGTTATTCAGGAGGCAGAATCAAGAGTTTGGTGAGTAAGTGAATCAGAGGCGAAGGAGAGGGGAAGAAGCTCATCTTACTGTTAGGGTTTGGGGCCTGGTGACTGGGGGAGGATGACACTAACAGAGGTACAAAAGCAGAGGAATCGGTTTGGAAATGAGGTAGAGAGGCACCATGGAAAGGGAAGGGCTGATTGACTGAGGAGGTGCAGTCAAGTGCAGATGGAATCCAAGGCAGAGCTCTGAATATAAGGAAAATCCCTCCCTGAGTTGGGGGGTACAGTGGAGGAAGGTAAGAGGGCGAGGATGCTGTGCAGGGGTGGTGGGGGTCTTGGGGTTAGAAAGCTAAGGGAATTCACGCTTGACTGGCTGTGGTCTCTATGCATCAGGAAGTAAGTTCAGTTATGAAGCAAATGAAGAGTTTGGAGAAAGTGAGAAATAGGAACTGGAGTGGGCCAGGAACCCAGAGAAGGACTGATGGACTTGAAAGCAAGTTTCTTTCCTGGATGACACTAAAATCATACTGTACCAGTATCAAGCACATAAAAATAAAAAATAAAAAAAAGACAAATACTTTCTTTTTAAATAGGTGATTGTGCTATATTTGAGCTTTATCTAAGTGTCTCATTTTATATGCGGTTTTACATTATTAATGATGTTTACATCATATACTTGACCAATTCAGAAAAAGATATCCGAAAAAATCTATTGCACAAATTATATAACTTGGAATAACAGCTCTTCAATTGTATTGCTCCATCTGGCACAGTGGAAACAGGCAGTTTCTACAGACAATTCTATAGGCACTGACATTTGCAGGCAATTTTGTTTATTAGATCTGTTTGTATTTTAATTACCTGTTTTAAAAATGATTAAATCACAATGTAATGGGCATTCAAAAAGAAAATTAAAAGGTCTAAAGTTGCATCTTGGGGCTTCTCTCTGCTTAGGAGGACGCTAAGAAAGAACTAGGTGGGATATGGGGGAAGGAAAGCGTGGCGTGGTTCACCAGGTGTGCAGACTGCAAGCCCTAGATCACATCAGAGCTACTTTTGCCTGGGATGTCTTCAACGCAGTAGATATCCCTTAGAAACATGCAACTGGTCAGCATTCAGGAAATCCGAACAACTGATGTCTTTTACCACATATACAACTAACAGACAGTCATTATGTGACACTTTCATCTGTCATTTTTTAAATAGGATTTTTATTCTAAATGGCCCCAGATTTTCATATTTTCATAACATGTTTTAGTGTTCCTGTCTCTTCTCATTCTCCAAAGCTGTCAGCTCCTTCTCCTTCTTCCTCACTCCTGTGTCCCTTTCTAATTATTGATTCTTAGTTGTGGACTAGGAAATCTGATAAAAGATCTTTGCTAGCCCTGGATATAAATCAATAAAATGTGTCATCAATCTTTCTCTTGAAGGCCTTTTTAAAAATAAAAAATTTCTGACTCCCTGTCTGTGTTTCTTACAGTTGAGGCTGATGGACAGTGGTCTCGTGATTAATGGGGTGTTGGCAGCACCTTACTTTATTCCATTACATCCACTAAGTCAGCAGTTACCGTTTCTTACAAGAAGAAACTAGCCTCTGTTTTTGCTATTTACCGTAGGACCTTAATGACATGNATGACATGCACAAAGATAAGGAATTCATTGGTTTCTTGTATAATACAGTGGGAAAATGCTCTGAAGAAAGTGTTTGCAAAGTGTGAAGGAAGCTGGGGGTGGGGGATTGCTCAGGCTTAAGGTGCAACCTATAAGCTGAGTCCCCAGCCTGGTGAGTTGATTAGGCCTGTGGGGCAGAATGGGAGTGTGCGTGTTGGAGCGGGGTGCATTAAGAAGCGCTGTCCCAAGAAAACCAAAGGCACAAGGCATGAGAGAAACAATGTGGTTTAGAGAATTGCAAGTAAGTTCAGAATGGATGGAGGTAGAAATGAC